CAGCACAGGGGTCCCATGGATCAATCAAATTCTGGTTAAAGGGAAACTACATAGGATGAAATGCCTAGTGGATCAGAGAATGACCATATAATGAGATAGTTTAGGTAGAGGCATTCAAACTTAAAGAAACTTAGGATAGATAGAAGTAAAAGAGAGGGTCAGTGAGAGAGAAGGTGCAGGGGAGAAAGAGAATGAACTAACCATATGGGATCACCAAATAGAAAGGAAGGCATAAAAGAAAGGGAGAGGCAATTCTGATTTTAGAGTTTCCAGCCTCAGTAGTGAGGAGGTCATAGACGTGATGAAGACAAAACAACACTGAGAGGTATATATATATATGTATATGTATATATACATACACACACACACACACATACATACGTGTGTGTGTGTGTGTGTGTGTGTGTGTATGAGAAGAAAGAGTCTTTTTAGGAAAAATTCTATTGAAATAACGAGGAACATCCAGTAGGAAACATTTGATAGGTCATTTGAAATGTAGGTGAGTAGTTCTAGAGTTTGGAGCTGGAAGATATAAATTAAGTATTCTGCCCAAAGTACTAAGAGTGAATTTGTAGATAAGGTGGCCAAGGGAAGACTATAGAGTTGAAAAAGTCAAGTTCTAAGAAGAAACTTTGGGACATGCCACAATGAAGTTGCTCCAGAAAAGGCAACCCTTTAGATTCAGATGGATTTCTGGATGCACCAATAGATGCTCCAAAAGATCTCCTAGAGCACATCCCCACCTTTCGGAGTATTTCCTAGCTTAACATCCCCTCTGAGAAACTTCCTGATCAGAATTAACCCTCCACCTCAATTCATGAACTAAATCCAACTCTTATCATTTTTAAACTCTGGACACACATACGCTGGTGTCATGATAATCCGTTCCTGTGTCTATGTCCCCAGCATCATCCCTGCTTCCTTAATGCTCTTCTACTTCCCCACACTGGGAAAAGAAACAAGAGAAAGTCTTCCATTTTCTTTTCAGTTCTCATTTCAGATACTGTGTCTCATGATCTCTGGTGTTGGATCACCATTGATAAACTATGACCAAGCTTGAGAAAAGAGGAGGAGGAAGTGAAATTGGAAAGAACCACTAAAAATGTCACTTTCTTCATGTTCTTGTCTGGAAGATATTTTCCATTTCTGTTAACTCAATAGGATACTCAGCATATGCAATGAGATAGGATACTCCACATAATCCTCCACCCTCTGTCCAGGGGTATACTGTTTCTAGCTATGATTAACTCAAAAAATCCTAATTCTTCCTACCCCTCCACCCCACCAAGGTTTTAACTTTAAATTATAACTACTTACCACTGAGAAAATCAAGTTTATATCTAGCAGTTGATAACTTTGACAACGAGGTCTACTCTAGGCTATAGTATGTTACCAACAAAACCACTGCCTTTCTCTAAGTATTTTTTCCCTAAAAGCCTGTTCAAAGTTTTCTGCTTTTCTAGAAACTATCTTAAAAAATGACGAGATACATGATGGGCCAGACCTGCTCAAATACTATTACTTTAAGTTTACTTTTTAAAAAAGATTTATGTATTTATGCATACAGAACTGGGGTACAGGCCAGAGGTGCGGGGGTGAGAAGATTCACCAGAGACACAGTGGGGAACAAAGCAGGCAGATCGACAAAGTTTACTGCTGAGGGGAGCAGTGGGTGGGTGGGTCAGGAGAGGCCTGTTGCACCATGTGGATCACCTCCGGGGCTGGGGATCGAACTTGCACTGAAGCTGCTGTGGCTAGCTTGCAGTGCTGGGTCCTAACTGGTTGAGCCACCAGGGAAAGCCCTGCTTTAAGTTTAAATTTAAGTTTTAAGTTAGAGAAGTATTTTCCCTCACTTCAGTTCGAATCATTATAAAGCTATGGCTCATAATCAGTGTAATTAGGTTCTGAACAGGACAACCTCCTAAGCCTCATGCAATGAGCCTAAACCTGCCAAGGAAGGAAGGGAGCTGAGAGGGTGGTCTCCTGCAGCATGAGGGGGATAAAGAGGAGGTTCTAATCCAGAGGAATGGCTACCAGTCAGAAATCACATGGAGGCTCCTGGGCCCCCAGAGAGCCCTTCATAACAGTAAGGGCTATCCAATCACAAAAGGACTTCTGCATAAAATGGGGTATTCCGGGCCCTCCCTGGTGGCGCAGCGGGTTAAAGCACAGCACTAAGAAGCTTAAGCCACTTCCGCATGAGTTCCATCGCTGCCTGCCCTGGAGGAGATCCACATGGCGTGGCAGACCTCTTCTGATCCGCCCGCTGCTCCCCTCAGCAGTGTACTTCGTCGATCTGCCTGTTCTGCTGCCCACAAAGTCCCTGGTGAATCGTCTCACCCTCTGCATCTCTGGCCTGTACCCCAGTTCTGTATGAATAAATAAATCTTTAAAAGAAAAAGGGGGGGGGGAGCAGCTGCGGAAGACAAGGGATTGGCCTGAGGGGACTCTCAGAACCATTCTGATCCCAAGATTGTCTATTGGAAAGAAAAGTCATTAAATGAAGGGTGTGTCTTCACCACAGAAATACCTTTAAGAACCAGAGGGAGAACAGGAGCAGGACCTGGAGCAAGTCACTCTGCTCCCAGGTAGCTTAGCTCTAATGTAAGAGGGGAACTGGAAGCTAAGACACCCTCAGGTTCCATGGATTTGTAGACACCTATGGACACAATTCATTGTCCTGGGGCTGCTATCTTTGCCAAAACCTATGGAAAAAAAAATAAAAAGAAGAGCACCTGACTTTAAGAAACCCCCATCAATGGGTCTGACCTAATGCGTGATGTTGAACTCAAGGTAAAGCGCAGATTCCACACCATACAGCTCATTGAGGGCCCTGGGCCCCCTTCTCGATACTCACCATCATTAGCCCCTCAGTACCCAAAAAAACTGCATAGGAAGAATTGTCACTAAACCAAGGTAGCCCGGAAACATGGATAAGAGCATCATGAATCAGTTAAAAGTGTCCCAAATACAGCAAAGCACAGCCAGTGTGGGGATTCTCAGGCTGTTTATAGATACACAAGTGCATATAAAAATGAGTTGCACATTTGCAAATCATCCCTTCCTATAAGCATATTTTGCAATCTCTAATTACAGCATTATTCCTCCACTGAATCCTACATGAAAGTAGTACCTGAAGAAAGGCTAACGTTCCAAAAGCCAATTCTGGCATCATGTTAGCTGTTTCCATGAGCTAAACCAGAAAGCTTTACTCTCAGGAGTTGATCTAAGGAAAGTCAGCTCTTTCAAGAGCTTCATATTTTATTTAATCCTTATCATCAAAGTGTTATACTCCACTAAAGAACAGAAACAATTTTTTTATGCTAAATCTAATAACAAGTATAAGCACCATGGCTAAAAGCATACTAAGACATCAACTCAAATACACGTTTTTCCTGAGACAATGGTGAAATACAAATTTTGCATATTAGTGAGGTGGCAAAAAATTACAAATGAACTCAAGCATTCTGTTTCTTTTTTCTTAAGTAGAAAACCACTCTGGATAGAGCAATTATTGCTTTCACTATGAAGACTCTGAACTAGGAGTTATTTCCTCTGGCACACAATAGCTCTTGTCTCCCTGGGGGCTCAAAGGGTCTCTACCTAGTTTCCTCTGAAGCAAAGGTGAGAAGAAATGCTCTAAGCATACTTGGAATTATTTCATCCATACCTGTCAACTCTTCTCCAGCAAAAGCTAATGCCATGGTGACACGGCTTCCACAGCTTGCAGTTATTATTTTTTTTTTAAGAAATCAACATCTTAAGTTATACACCATCTGAGGCTTTTTCTTCATGCTCCCCACAGAGGAGAAACATACCACTAGGCATATTACTACTAAAATCCATGACAAGTAATTGCTCTATATTTTAAAATCTTTAGGCTGTCAATATGCACATACATATGTGAAACTATAAATTGCAATACACTTGAGAACTGTTATTTATTATGTATATTTTGAGACTTCTGTGCCCTGATATAATCCCTAATTACAGTGGTAACCTTCAAATGCAACCTCTGTGAACCACAGTACCACAGTACCTTCAGAAAACCAAGTAAGTGAGGAAACTCTTGAAAATCCTTACAAACAAGTCAAGAAGAAGAAAAATGGAATTGATCATCACTTTAAATAATAATCAAAACTTAGAACTGCAAAGTACAAGTGTTCCATATATCACTGCCACAAAGCCAAGAAAGACTAGATAAAGAAAAGAAATAATTGGGAAATAAAATAATTCCTGGAGAAAAGAAATAATTGGGAAATAAAATAAATCTCATTCTCAATCTCTCTTCCCCTCACCCCTCCCTTACTAATTTAAGTTGGTTCCTCTACAACAATCTCTTTTAAAAAGCTCTTCACAGGAAGGTCTCCTGGTCATCTGGCATGTACTTGCTAACCAACCTTAAGATGTCATAGCCTCAGATATAATATCAAATACTTTGAAGTGAAGGTTGAGATGGGGTCTGTTGCACCCCATAGGGCACTTTCTTTAGGGACAGCTGCTTGTATGACTTGCTCTGAGGCTACTTGTTCTTACCTGAATGTGTAAAGTGTATTAACTCTCTCAGGAAACTGAGATAGATAAATGACAGGTAGAGAAAATATTTCTTAGCTCTATCATTTAATATCTACCAGGTTTAATGGTAGCACATTGTGACAACACCTTTTTTTTTTTTTATCTCTCATTGATTTCTTACCTAGAATCCTGGAATCACTCCCTGGATAAGTTTATTTTCTAGATTTATGAGTAATGTAAAAGTTTTTTTTTTTTCCTGACTTATTGGCTCCTCATAAGTGAGAAAATGATAGTGCCAAATATGCTTTTTTTCCTTCAACAGATGATTTTTAAAGAATCCCAACCATGGTAGAGTGCGACTTTTAGTTCATCACAACAAAGCAAATAACACACGATAGCTACAAGCTCAAACTCTTGTCTGTGTGCATCTCCCTCCAAAAGAGCAGCCAGGATCACCCTAGTGCCCGCCCATTCACCCCACTTACGGTTCAGGCGACTCTGTTCAGGTTGTGCACTGTCCACAGACTGAGTGCTGGACACTGAGGACACACTGGAGCTCCGGACAAAGCCAAAGGCTGCTAGCTTGGCAGCTGGGAGGCGTGAGTATCCAGGAGGACGAAGTCCAGATTTTGGTAGATTAGATTTTGCAGCATTTGAATTGGTGGCTTTCTTTAAATCTGCTAAAATAAGCCCAAAACAAAACAAAACAAAATTCTCAATTAATAGCAAGATAATGGCATCAATGATGAATACTAACCCCAATCAAGACATTTACAACTTTCACCTACAGCTGTATTTACCACGAGTGTTTGTATGCACATCCTTAAGCAGTGTTCTTACTCTATAGTTAGCTACTCTATTATTTAATGAAAAACTAATCAGATGGCAGACTAAATATAATTTAAAAAATGAGTATTGGTAAAATATATAGTGTCTAAAATTTGATAAAGAATCTATATACTACAAAGCACTTATATGTGGGAATACAGATGCCAGACAAGATGTACAGTGACCCTTCCTCTATCAACAGTTCTCTCAAAGGGTGAGAGAGTGGTTAGTTGCAGGTAAAGGTAGCGTGTACACAGATAGAGTTTTCTGACACCCTTGGGTCAAGGTTAAGAGAAGGAATCAGATGAGTGTAGTGGGAACAGGGAGCTAATGCTACAAAATTTACAAAATCAGGTCTGTCCTCAAGATTAAAAAAAATTTTCAAATATTACAAACAGGAAATAATCATTGTTTAACAAGAAGTAGTGATCCTTTGATCTCACGCTATTAAGTGTCATGTTCAATCCCTCAATTATTCTCCTATCACTTTGCATACTTTTTTGGTGATATCTTTCAAACAAAGAACATGTTGTTACATATCAGAGATTATTTTTACAATAAGTTTACACCTAATCCATTTGGATGAGGTCTGTAGAACATTAAAAATGTTGTTAAAATTTAGATGGACATTTTTCCAGTGAAATAACTACCGCTGATAAAAATTAGTTTTTAAAAACTACAGTCATTTAAAAATCTCTGGAAATTGTTCCAAGGGTACACAGCAAATAAGCATTTATATAAGAACATCTAAGAAATCTCAATAAGAACCTTGAGTCATCAGCATTTGGAAAGAACGTTTATTTGCAAATGCTTACATTAAAGAAAGATAAAGGTGTTTAATTGACATAGCAAACTTGCACTCAAGGACACTAAAGAAAAGTCCAAACTAAATTTAAACCAGGAAGAAACAAACAAATAATAAAGATAAGAATGGAAGTAAACAAACAAAATAGAAAGACACAGACAAAATCCTAGGACACAAAAGTTGGTTATTTGAGTAATTAACAAAGTTAACATTTTAATTAGACTGACCAAGAACAAAAGATAGAAGATTCAAATTATTAAATTAGGAATAAAAGGATATCTTTAAAAGGCTTGCAGGAAGAGTCCCTCCTTGGTGTCGCAATGAGTTAGACACAGCACTGCAAACTAGCCGCAGCCACTTCAGTGCGACTTCATCCTCAGCCCCAGATGTGATCCACATGGTGCAGCAGACCTCTCCTGACAGGCCTGCTGCTCCCCTCAGCAATGTACTTCAGCAAAATACTTCGTTGATCTGCCAGCTCTGCTCTCCACTCTGCTCTGGTGAATCCTCTCAAAGCCCCTCACCTCTGGCCTGTACCCCAGTTCTGTATGCATAAATAAATAAACCTTTAAAAAAAAAAAGGCTTGCAGAAATAAATATATATACTATGAATAACTTCATCTCAAAAAATTAGGTAACCTAGTAAAATGGAGAAATTCCAAAATATTGAAAACAGTAAAAATTAACTCAAGAAGAAATAGAAAATACGAATACATTAATTTTAAAAAGGTTGAATTTGTAGTCCAAAAACTTCCCACAAAGAAAATTCCAGGTTCAAATATCTTCACCAGTAAATCAAGCACGTAAAAGGCCCTCCCTGGTGTGCAAGGGGTTAAGATACAGCGCTTTGAAGCTCCCACAGCTACTGCAGCACCAGCTCCATCGGTGTCCAGGGAGTTGACCCTCAAGGCACAGAAAACCAATCCTGTCTATTCCACTGCTCCCCTCAGCAGTGTATTTCAGTACATCTGCCTTTTCTGCTCCCCACTCTGTCTCTGGTGAATCCTCTCACCCCCTGCATGTCTGGCCTGCACCCTAGTTCTTGTATGAATAAATAAATAAATCTTTTTTAAAAAGCAAGCATTTCAAAAAGAATTTTTACCAGTTCTCCATAAAGTATACCTTTCCCCCACCGAGAAAGAGACCATTTCCAAATCATCCTATAAGTCCAATATTACCTCACACACACACACTCACACACACACCAAAATTTAAAAAAAAAAAAACAGAAAAAAATATCATGAAAGAAGAAAATTATTGAACACCTCTTGCGGATACAAGGTCTCACCATAATATTAGGCGGATATCACAAAGAAACCAGTGACAAGTAAAAAAGAATTCATACCATGACCAAATAAGACTTGATTCAACAATGGAAGATTTGTTTAATATATGGAAATCTGTCACCGCTACATATTAATAAAGTAAAAAAAAACCTATGTAGTATTTTCAGTAGAAGCAGAAAAAAAATCAATCACTTGACAAAATTGCAGCAATAATTAAATTAAAATCACTTAACAAACTAAGAATAAAAGAAAGTATTCTCCATCTGATAAGAGCATTCAGAAAAAAAAACCTCATACTAGCTAACAACCTAGTCAACAAATAAATGAAATGCTTCCCCCCAAGATCATGACAAAGATCTCTGTTCTCACTACTTCTAGTCAACATTTTATGAATGCATCAAGGATGGGCAAACAGGTAAGAAAATAACATATGGTATATATATATTTTTAGATGAAGACCAAACATACATAAGAAATACATTTTGGTCTTCTGAATGACCACATACATATCTTATAAATCACAATATTACAGCCATGAAAACCTGAATGTACATGAAAGAGGCTAGAGACAAAAGATCACATAGAATTCCATAATATGAAATATCCAAAATGGCTAGTCTAGAGAGACAGGAAGTAGGGTCTGGGGTTTGCAGGAAATGAAGGGTGCCTGATAATGAGTAAAGGGTTTCTTCTTTTTGAGATCATGGAAATGTTGTAAAATTGATTGTGGTGATAGCTGTACAGTTATGTGAATATACTAAAAACTATTGAAGTGCAGCTGTTAAACCGATGAACTTTATATATAGTTTCTAATTATGTATCAATAAAGCTGTTATACTGAAGTAAAAGTTTAATAGAGAATTAGCAATTTGTCTTTAGTTCAGTAACAGACTGACAAGAAGACAGAGCAGTGGCTAGTTCCACACTCTATCAGAGGTTCACTTAAAGGGCCCGTGTCAGATATAGAACTTGGTCTATCATTGTGTGTCCATACAAAAGACACTTCTATCAAGAGGTGAAATAAGTGTCTCATATAGCAGATCAAGACCCTGGTAAATGAATAAAATGACAATGGGAATTAATTTAAATATCTTCAAAAATTAGTGAAAACAAAACCTCTAGAATCAAATACTCCAGTCATGTATAAGTGAGCTAAAATAATTCACTCTATGATTTTTTACTAAGGCTTTATATAACGGTATAAGTTTGCAAAAAAAAAAAAATTCCTGTATGAACAACAAAAGAGATTTTCTGCTATTGAATGTTTAAAAGATGTGCTGGTCTTGCAAAGAAATATAATTTTTCATTTGAAAGATAAGTATTTATTTTGATGAAACTTGAACAATTACTTTTTTCCTTTTTTGTACTGATTTTCCTTTGAAGATGACATGACTGCTAGAAATATCTCAATCTAGAAGCAGATTATAGTTCTTTTAAGGTTAAAAAATAAGGGGATAAAGATCCATCCACCATTGTCCAATATTCTTGGTATTGTAGGCAAAAAAAAAATTATGAAAATAAATGTATAAAAATCCAATTTAATATGCATTCAAGGCACCTATGCCTGGAATACCTTCAGAAGAAAGCAAGAGTCATCTCCAAGTGGAGCTTATAACCTACTGCATTTCAGATACTTGTTCATTTGGAAGTTATCTAGCATGAAAGAGGAGAGCAAGGCCAGAATAGAAGTGTGATCCAGTACTTTAGAAGAAAAGAACTAAATAAGGCAAATCATCAACAAAATGCAGTAAGGCAAAGTCATCAAACAAAATGATTCAGAGTTTGTATTCAAGATCCATTTTTTCTTCATAATTTTAGATTTTCTTCATGATTTTGCATTTGGTGTTTATTTTTTCTGGTATATTTGTGTTTACATAAATACACATATATGTGTATGTATAGTTATATGTTTTGGTATATATATGAACAAGACTGCTTTTTTTAAAAAAAAATCTTACTATAGATTTTTCTACTTTCTTTTATAAATAGTTTCTTCTTTCACAGATATTTTGTAGCTAAGTGGCTTACCTTGTTCAAATGACTGAGAAATAATTTCTTGCTCACCTTGTTCAAGAATATGAACAAACAGCAGATGTTTTTACCAAGTTTCCTTCCTTCATACTGGGAAATAGTAAGCAAATTCTTCAATATTAAGGCATCAACTCCCCCATTGGAGAAAAGAAAGACAAATTAAACAAAGTAATGGCAGTGATATATTTCAAGATTGCACTGAAGAACTGGATTTAATGTACCTATTATCCAGTGTACAATTTCAGGCAATACTTAAACTGTCTGAACCTCAGTTTCCTCACAAAAAAAATGAGGATTCAAACATCTGCCCACATGATAGAAGAGAAATCACATCTAAAGAGCTTCTCGTCTAGCCTGGCATGCAATAAAGACATAATAGATGATGACATTTTTTGGGGTTAGCCTTAATGCTACTATAGCAGGTGGAAAAAAAGCATCTCACTATTAAAATAAAGAGAACACCAGAAAATAACCATCTTCCAAGATGGGTCCTCAAAGAACCTGAGCAGCGAATCAGAGCTGACCTAGACCCATACTATACCATTAAAGTGAAAAACTGACTTCTTAATTGAGGCTTAAAGGATATTGCTGATTCTCCTCAAGTTCTACATTGTTCACTCAGGGAGAATCAGTCATGCTATCTGGATACTTAAGCAACTCTGTGCTGTAGTCCACAGTGGGCTGGAACTGAGGTCTCCTACACACAGTCATATGTGTGATGGCTTCCTCA